AGAAAAATGGTGACCCATGTTATGTAGGGATCAAATATTTGGTGAAATTATCACCTGCAATAATTTGAACAATAGGTAATAAACCTAATGAATATATGGCTTTGGGTGAAGAGAATGCAAAAAAAAAAAAAGTTACAAGTGTACCTTGGTCATTACTAGTTGTGTTTGACAAGATTCTACAAAAGAGTTGACCTCAGGAAAAGGACTGGCCTATCTAAAAGCAGGATGCATGGGAAATAGAGAATCCAGAAATGCTAGGAGTTGCCATCCTGAAAGCTACAACTGCTTCTCATCTCAACTTCAGATGAAATTTAAAAATACTCTGTGCAACAAAGGCCAAATAAGACTCAGTCTTGGGGCAAAGAAATGGGTCAGAAAAAGAATGTGACTCCATGAAAGCCTGATAAACCCAGGATACTATTGACAAAAACCAAAAATGAAAGAGATTTTTGGAGACAGTTGTACCACCATCCTAGGTTTTGAAAGGACTGTGACTGTTAAAAACATGAAAACAATCTTTGGGCTGCAGTCATCTGGGGATTTGTCTGGACTAGATGGCTCACTCTGTCTGGCCCCTTGACAGAGATGGCTGGAAGTCTGGGCTCGATGGGACTCTGGAACAGCTGAATCAATCCATCTCTCTCACTCCCTCTCCCAGCTGAATCAATCAATCTCTCTCCCTCTCTTTCTCTCTCTCCCTCTCCTTTCTATCCCTCTAAGTCTCAGGCCCTCTCACTCTCCAAGGTTTCTCCATGCGGTCTCTCTTGCAGGATTGCTGAACTTCTTACATGGTGGCTTAGGGCTTCCAAAACTGCAAAAGTGGAAGCTGCCAGGCCTTCTTAAGGCTTAGGACTAGAACTGGTATAGCATCACTTCTACTACATTCTGTTATTAAACTGAATCAAGGTCAGCCTAGATTCAGTGTGGGAGGGGAATACACAAAGGCAGAAATACCTTTAAGCTGGTTTATTGAGGGACATCTATGGAGACCAGCTGCCACAATGAACAATAAATATTAAATAAACTAATTAATTAATGACCTTCTACTGTAGCAGACCATGTTGTTATTGTGGTAGAGATTGGCACACAATGGTTTAAAATTATCAACCTTATTTTCATTATCAAACAGCATTTATATAGTCATGATTTTCACATACTATTCCAAATACCATACCAAAAAAGGAAAATGAACCAAAAGTAAACCTCTTGGCAGGATTAATACAGAAAGATTTTATTAAAAAGATTTTGATTCCATATCATTGTTGCAGTTTTTATAAAGGAAAGTTAAAAGTGAAGAAGTAGATGGATGGACAATAGTAATTAAAAGTATATGGATTTAGCCAGAACCCCACATCAAAAGTAAGAAAATCAGATATTTGGGAATGAGGACACAGGTTCTAGTCCCAGTTTTGAGGAACAAGTGTTTTATTTTGAAAAAGTCTCTGGACCTCAGTTTTTGCAACAGTAAATGAGAGTATATGAACCAGCAGTTGGATCTGCACCCCTCCCTCTGCCTTCTTAGTGCCTGCCATCAGTTTTTGTGCCCGCATGAACCACTCCACTCTTATGGTGGCTCCCCACTCCCACCTGCCCTACTACTATAGTATTCTGTGCTCAAATGAGGCCCCATTTTGGTGGGGAATGAGGAATTCAAGCTGAAGCACTACGTGAACTCACAAGTTGATGATAATGATCACTGAGTGAAAAACACAGAGAAGAAAATTTTATTCTAAATTCCTATCTATGTTAATATTTAAAAGAAAGTGATGATGAGGGAGAATAAGCCAACAAAATACTCTCAAAATCACACTGTATTATATACATCTTGTAGGATACAAGAGTTCAATTAAAAAAATTACTCTTCCTAAAAAATACATTTATTTATGTTGTTTCCGACAAGAATCACTGATTAGAGGTTTATATCTGGAGGTACTTCACTGGCTGGTGTAAAAAATTTTAAGAATGCAAAACTAACAATGTTCCACTGCTTTCTGAAGAGTTCTCTCTGTTCCTTCTGGAACACACAAATTATTGCCAAGTTAACTGAGCTCACATTTTTACTCTAATTAAACGAAAGAAGACTTTATTCTTCCAGATCCTTATCAAGATATATATTAGAATTGCTTATGCTAAAGCAATAGATGTACATCTTATGCAATCACCCCACAGTCACAATACTTTTCAAATACTTTTTTGTTGATATGCAGTCAACATAACATTTCCTGGTCACTGAAGTCTCCTGCTTCCTGTTAATGGTGCTACAAAACAAGTTTCCTGGGGCTGGCCTGATGGCATAGTGGTTAAGATTGTGCACTCCGCCTGGGCAGCCGGGGGTTTGCAGGTTTGGTTCCCGGGCATGGACTAACACACCATTCATCAAGCCATGCTGTGGTGGCATCCCACATATAAAACAGAGAAAGATTGGCACAGATGTTAGCTCAGCGACAATCTTCCTCAAGCAAAAAGAGGAAGATTGGCAACACGTTAGCTCAGGGCCAATCCTCCTCACAAAAAAAAAAAAAAAAAACCAAGGATACCTACTTTTTCTTTCAGATTTCATAATCATAGGAATCTGTTCTCTTATTAATATGAATCTTTCTTCTACTGAATCTTTAATTCAAGTTTAGGAGACTGGCAGACTTCAATAACTTTACAACTTCAGATTGTCATGAAGTTAACTATTCTTCCCTTTGCTCTGTCAAGGTACGCCAAATTTAGGTTGAAGAGCACTCAGAAAGTAATCCCCCTAGAGGTTCCTGTTATTCACAAGGGTGTGTTGTATAGATATGGTGCCTGTATCAGTTAGGGTTTTACCAGGGAGGCAGGAGCACTATGAATGATATGAATAAGGGAGTTATAATAGGGATTAGACGTTACAGAATTTGGAGAAAAGCTGAGGAAACAAATAATGTCCTAGAAGGGATTGGAGCAAAGGGATTGGAGCAAAGTTGCTAAGACCACAAAGGGCAGCTGGTGAAGACTCGGGAAGGTTGCTGGCTCTGCATCTGATCATGGGCCTAAAGTTGGGAAGAAGAGCCAGGAGCAAACTAGGGAGAGCAAGGACAAACTGGTACCTGTGTTGTCTGTTTCTCACCAACTCAAACTTTGATCACATGGATGAACTGAAGAAGCTAGGCCCTTCCCCCTCAAAGCTACACATACCCCTGGCCCATGACTCAGAAGCTGAAAGAGATTTGGTAGCAATTGGAGGAGCTGAGCGCCCAGCTGTTGCCCCATCACACGAAGGCTACTGTCAACAGATAAATGACACCAAGTATGAGTTGCACCTGGGGCCTTGCACTGACCTTACAAAGGTAAAGGCTTCTGCCTAACTCCAATGCTCCCCAAATCTCAGGCAGATTTCTCAGGTGACCAGCCTTACAGAGCCAGGAGCCATACAGAAAAAAGAATTCTGGCAAACACAGTTCCAGCTTAGCTAAATTGGTACAAGATAAAATCACCACAGTGCCCAGAAGTCCTTTCATGTAAATTGATCCAAAGATGGATTTAAGCCTCTCAGAGACAATACAGATTCATTCAATAATAAAGTCTATCATAATACAGAATTTTAATTACTACACTTATTTGCAAATTTTCCTCCAAATTTTTTTTCTGTCTAATACTAGAAATATTGCTACCAACAAAGAGGTATTTCTTTTGCTCTTGTTAAGATAAACATAAATGTAGAGCAACATTCAACATCTTATCACTAATTGAACAATTTTTAAATGGAAGAAATCTATTTAATATGTCTCCATTTCCACCCAATTGCCTTTTACCATCTCAGTTCATCTCATACTATTTACTTCCTACTTCTCCTAGGCCAAAAGAATTTAAACTCCAAACATAAGGCATTCTTGCTCCTCCCTATAATGTGGCTTTTTGTCAAAGCCACCAAGTCCATCAGGATTGTATAAATCTGAACTGTAACTATGAATATGAATTAAGTTCAAGTTCTTTCTCACAGAGTTCTCTTCTCATGTAAATCAGGATATGAGGTATGTCACCTAATTCTACTAATTCTAATTCACCTAATTCTAATCCTTGCAACCCAACTCAGCTCTGAGACTAGCAACACCCTAACACCCTCTTGGAGTCCCTACAGATCTCTCTGCCCTCATCAAAGAATTCCTCCAGGAAGAGGGTAACAAGCTCAGCTTTACCTGAAGTCCTCCTTGGCTCCCAGGGACAAACCCTCCTATACAGTACTGGCACTGGGCTTCATGAGAAGCATATTTTCTCCCACTTGCAAGAAGCATTAAAATTGAGCCCAGACACTTAGCTGATTTAATAGAACCTTCTGGAAATCACAGCTTTCTCAACCATGTTCCTCTCACTTTGGGAACTTTCTGTTAGGGTATCTTCTCAGTAGTAGCATCTGCTGATAAATTAACTAGCTAACTTATTGTCACTATGATATGGTGAAAAGTCACCAGGACTTGGAGTAGAAGATTTAAGTTTTGGTTCTGGCACCAGATATCTCTAAGTCCCAATGCAGAAGGTAAAATCTGCCTCACAGGGGTGATGTTGTAAAGTGGAAATGAGATAATGGATGTCCTATCCTCACCCATAACGACCCCTGACCAGTCCATAACCCACCTCTTTCGTAAGGAAACTTCTTCTTGCCTTGGGCCATACTATATGGCTGACAGAATACTTATAGACTGCATAGCCACTTCAGGGGCCACCTCACACCACAAGAGCCACTGTTCCTTTCCACCCAGGCCCTGTTGTGGACCTGTTCCACCAGGCCTCACTCCCACTTACAGTGAGACCAGAGGTCTTTCCACATTAATAGGGTTATTTTTTCATTTTCTCTCCCTCTCTCTCAGGGTCCCTGCTATTCCTCCCCTGAAGTCCAGCTTTACATTATTCAGGATTAAAAGGATATCTATAATAAGATTAATGCAAAAAGATTATATGTTATGTGACATAAATGTTTATTAACATAGAAGATGCTTTTCTCCTTCTTTCTAGGTTTTATGTCACCCATGGTCAACAATTTGCACTTTTTTCCCCAATAATATTCCTAAAATAAGATCAAATCTTTGACTTAATTTTCCCTACATTTTTTTCTTAAAGTTACTATAAGTACTGTTTAGAATAAAAGACAAACACCTAACCAAACACAGCTTAGTAAAAACTAAAGCTAACACCTGCTATATTTACATTTAAATTTCAGAGAAATGTGAGGAAGCTATCTCTATCATCAATAGCAGTTGTTAGGCTTATAAAATATTTTAAGCATATAGAGACAACTAAAGCACAATAGACTTCAGTTTCCTTTCCTCTCCTCTTCCATTCTGACCTTATGCACATCCTTAGCGAGCAGACAAAAGTAAGTTCAGACTCTGAAGGCATTTGATCAGTAGATCGCACATAATCAAAAATGTCAAGTTTTATTTTAAAATGTTAAACTTACTACAGGCTGATAAGAAAGATCAAATGACTTCTTTGAACATGCAATATTTGAAATTGGAAAATTTGGCTTATAACTAATATTTTTTAAGTAGCAAGAGCATTTTATGAAGATGTTGCCCGTTTCAAATACTGAATAAGATCTTCTCTCTCACTCTTCTTTTTAAGACCAGCAAAGATCATTTTAGTTCCAGGGATATATTTCTTTGGGTTCTCCAAATATTCCAACAGAGTTTCCTCTCCCCAGATAACACCTATAAAGGTGAAAATAAGTTTTAAGTTTGTGTAGTTACATTTGTAACGCCTACTTTCTGATATGACCCATGTATGGGAACAAAAGATTACTTTTGGATTCAATATGAAGGCTATCATAACCAGGAATACTCAGTTTCTGACCCACAAGAAAATTCCAAAATTAGTCTTTGGTGATCCACACTTTGGCTTCCCTGTAGAAATCCAATACTCCACAGGCTGTTTAGGATTCTTCAAGGTATACCAATGAACTACCACCCCAGATATGTTGTGCCCAAGCAGCACCCCATCCTCCTAGAATCACAGAGAGTTCCTTCTAGAAAAGATCTTAGAGATCAATTAATCCAACCTCTCATTTTGCAGATGAGTAAATGATGACTCAAAGAGAGGGGAATAACTTGCCCTGAGGTGACAAGGCTTCTTAGAGTCAAGAATCTGTGACTACTAACTCATATTTCCATGTTTTTTCTGCCAATCATACCAAGCTGCCTCTGCCCAGATCTCTATCAAAAAACTATAATTTCAAGAATCCAGTTCCTGGTTGCCTCTACCTTTTTGCCTTTTTAAAATCAGTCAAAAAGAACATGGACAAAAAGAAACAGAAACGTTAACTCCACTTCTGATAAAATTTTTGAGGAAGCACCTATAACCCCAAACTTGATATAATTAGAAGACTACCAAGGACATAAAACCTGGACCAAAGTGAGAGGACAGCTGTCACTAATGTTCTCGAAAGAAGAAGAGAAACGTTCTCCAAAGTAGGAAACAAATCCTGAAGGGCAAAGTCAGAATCCTGCAGCCCAAAAAGTTGAGTGTATATTGGCTTGCTGTGAAAGTCTACCTAAATTCAGTGTGACACCATGGAGGGCCAGGGGAGCCAGGATTAAAGAAGAAAACACCAACATGCCATCTTTAAAAGAATATACTACCTTGTTATAGAAGAGAAACTGAGGGTGTTGGCTAACCCTAGAACTGTCAGTCTTTGTCAGTTGAATTTAAGAGCCAAAAAACTCCCCACCAAACATACACAGATACACATTCAGACACATACTGTGGGTAAGGAAGACCTCATAACTAACTGGAACACTTAGACCCTCACTCTTACTGTCCTTGTGCAAATAACCAGTCCAATAAGTATTGTCCTCACCAAAAGATGAGTAATAATCAAAAAGGAATCAGCACAAAAGAGTATTAAAAACACATACACACAACATACACACACACAACACATATACACACACATCGCATAAAGGAATACAAAAAACAAAAGCTAAAGGAAAAATGCACATCAGAAATTATATACATTAAGCACATTAAAATTATGACCACATTTCTATGGATTCAAAAAAGGTATTTATGAATCAAGGGCTCAAAGCAGAGCTACAAAGGCTCAAGGAGAATATGATAAAACAGAAAGACATAAATGACATCAAAAAGAACAGATGTTGCTGATAGCACAATGAGGCTTGAAAACATGAATAAAAGCAAAATGCAGAGAATGAAGAGTTTAAAATGATCTAAAGGAAATGCCAGATACAGAAGATATTTAGACAAAGGAGATCCAAAATATGTATAATTGGTGGCCCAAGTAAGATTTTTTTTAAAAACAAATGAAATAGAAGAAAATTATTAAAACATATAATTCAAGAAAACTTTCAAAAATAAAAGTCCTACATCCACCAATTAGAAGGGCACATATTCCAGGAAAATGTGAAACCAGTCAATCAAGACTTCTGCACAGCTTAGCAAAGTTACTAAATTTCAGTAAGGATTTACTGAAACTTAGAGGAAAGAGAATAAAACAAAAATAAAACCGAGTATAGGTTGGCATCAGATTTCTCCAAAGCATAATTCAACATGAAGCATACAAAATCCTGAGGAATTAAAAGTATCACCCAATAATTTTATGTCTAACTAAATTATCATTCAAGCATAATGAGAATCCATGGTTGTTTTCGAATATCCAAGAATTAGGGTAACATAGTTCCAAGAATCCTTTCTTGGCATAACTACTGAAAGATAACCTTCCACTAACCAACAGACAAATACAGACACTGTATAAAAGGTAGAAATAAGCACTGATACCATTTAAATGTAAGACAAATGTTAAAACAACTGTGGTAATAATGATTACAAAAGATGTAAATGATATACATCACGTCAGAGTAAATATAACAACATAAGTAGCAAGAGTTAGGAGATGGTGTGAAAAATGGGAGGTTGTATAACCACTTTGATTTTCTCATCCTTCATGGTAGGGGATACACAGATATTATTTAAAGTAGCTAAATCAAATAATAGAGGCATATGGATATTATTTAAAATACAAATATGGCCACTAAAATTAATAATATTACCAAATAAAATTAGCTGGTAAAGGGAAAGGAACAGAGGAAGATGAGGAGACGTGAACATACACAATTTCCTCATGGCTCATACTGGGAGGTATCCTTTGGAACTATTTGAATTTTGACATAATGTACCTGGATTTCAAAATAGTTTTTAAATTATTAATACATTTATGATTTGGTGTGTCCTACTGCCTCTTTTAACAGATTTGACATGACAATAGACAATAGATAAAGATTAATCTCTAATAATAAGTTAGTTTAGTCAATATGCTAACCCATGATATGATTTCTGTAAATGCCCAAGAGGACCTGAGTTTGAATCCTAGTTCTATCACTTGTTAGCATAGAACCCCGGCCAACTCATGAATTAATTCAAACAATTTGTTTCTAAAACCTGCTTCAATTATTATTGCCCAAAAAATACAAATGGGATATAGGTACTCAATAATACTCATAAGGATATTATTCTGAGAACAAAAATTTTATCAACTTACTGACATTTTCAAAAACACAATATAGATGTTCAATATCACTAACCATTAGGGAAATGCAAATCAAAACCACAATGAGATGCAACTTCACACCCATTAGGATGGCTATTATCAAAAAAAATAAAGGAATAAAATTACAAGTGTCGTGGAGGATGTGGAGAAATTGGAACCCTTGTGTATTGCTGGTGGGAAGATAAAATGGTGCAGCCACTGTGGAAAATGGTACAGCTGTTTCTCAAAAATTAAACACAGAATTATCATATGATTCAGCAATTCCACTTCTGGGTATATACCCAAAGGAAGTGAAAGCAGGGACATGAACAAATATTTGGACACCCATGTTCATAGCAGAATTACTCACAAAAGCCAAAAATTAGAAGCAACCCAAGTATCCACTGACAGATAAATGGATAAACAAAATGCGGTATATACATACAATGGGATATTATTCAGCCTTAAACAGACGGAAGTTATGACACATGGTGCAACATGGATGAACCCCGAAGACACTATGCTAAGTGAAATAAGGCAGTCACAAAAAGGCATATGACTCCACTTACAGGAAGTACCTAGAATAGTCAGATTCATAGAGACATAAAGTAGAATGGTGGTTGCCAGGGCATGTTTAATAGGTACAGAGTTTCAGTTTGGGAAGATAAAAAAGTTCAGGAGATGGATGGTTGCAGAACAATGTGAATGTACTTAACACCACAGAACTGTACACTTAAAAATGGTTAAAAGGATAAAGTTTATGTTATATATATTTTGCCACAATTTTTAAAAGCCACACAATGTAAGATTATTGCTACAATTATGAATTTTGTAAAACTATGCTCTAAGTCAGTCATACGGGACAAAGAATCTTCTTTAACATATGAGAATTTTGGGGGCCAGCCCAGTGGCACAGCAGTTAAGTTCACATGTTCCCCTTCAGTGGCCTGGGGTTCACCAGTTTGGATCCCAGGTGCGGACCTATGCACTGATTGTCAAGTCACGCTGTGGCAGGCATCCCATATATAAAGTACAGGAAAACGGGCATGGATGTTAGCTCAGGGCTAGTCCTCCTCACCAAAAAAGAGGGAGAATTGGTGGCAGATGTTAGCTCAGGGCTAATTTTCCTCAAAAAAAAAAACAGAATTTCCATATTCTTTTGAAAACTAAAATAGTATAACTATTTCCAAGAGAAAGATCATACATAGAAAATGAAATATGATACACAGTTTTCCACAATTTGTATTAAAATTCAACTATTGACTTCCTTTTTCTTCTTAATTATTCAAATCTGTCTTTGGTCAAGATATGATAAAGTGTTTTAAATCCTTATTTTATTCTAAATAACCTCATTTTAAAACCCTAGTCCAATTAACGTAGTAAGCTACTTACATCATTCTTTTTTCCAGCTTTATTGAGATATAATTAACATATAACATTGTATAATTTAAGGTGTACAATGTGTTGATTTGATGCACATATATTGCAAAATGATTACTACAATAGCATTAGCTAAAACCTCCACACCATCTGAGAATTACTTTTTCTTTTTTGTGGTAAGAACATTTAAAACGGACTCTTTTAGCAACTTTCAAGTATATAATACAGCATTATTAGCTATAAGTGCCATGCTATACATTAGATCCCCAGAACTTGTTAATCTTGTAACTGGAAGTTTGTCACCATTACCCCTGACCCCAGGCCCTGTTAACCACCACTCTACTCTCTGTTTCTCTGAGTTTGGCTTTTTTTTATTCCACTGTATAATATAAGTGTTATTATACAGTTTTCATCTTTCTCTAACTTATTTCACTTATCATAATGCCCTCAAGGTTCATCCAAGTTGTTGCAAACAGGAAGATTTCCTTCTTTCTCATGGCCGAAGAATATTTTATCGTGTTTTTGTGTATATATTACATATATATAGATCTTGGCTATTGTAAATAATGCTGCAATGAACATGGGGGAGCAAGTATCTCTTCCAGATCCTGTCTTCATTTTCTTTGAATATATACCCAGAAGGGGGATTACTGGATCATATAGATCTATTTTTAACTTTTTGAGGAAACTCCATACTGATTTCCATAGTGGCTCTACCAATTTACGTTCCCAGCAACAGTGCACAAAGGTTCCCTTTTCTCCACGACCTCACCAACACTTGCTATTTCT